GTCACCTCAGAGTTAAATATAAGGGGTTTGACTCTACTGGAGTAAAATTTACTCTTGCTCAAATTTCACCAACATCCAAAATTGAACTCTTTTTAATTTGCTGTGTACGGCCCGACCGATATGGATTGTTTGAGGTCGATGCCGATTCCGATATTTGGCCAAAAAAAAAAAATCCTGATAAGCGATTAATCGGCCGATTAGTTTAAAAAATACACAGTGGATAAAATAGCTTCTTTCTTGGTCCCTTAATGCTACAACAACAAAGATATGAATCCCAGGCAGAACATTTAACTGTTTTACATTTAGTCCTTTAGTATGTGTTTAACTTTACAACAGAGAGGAATTTTCAAGAACAAAAACATGCAACAAAGCGTTAAACATCACATGCATCAGTAAAAAACTAAAAGTTTTCAGAACACATATGTCTATAATGTGGGATGTTTGATTTTAAATGTGCATTTTTCTTTCTATGGAGCATGAATATAACCTCTAATAACTTGTTTAAAGAAATTGTATAATTCATCCCACACCCACCCAACCGGTCGAGGCAGACGGCCGTCCCTCCCTCAGCCTGGTTCTGTTGGAGGTTTTTTTTTTCCCCCGCGGGGGTTTTCGGTTCCGTCCCACTGTTGTGGACTGCTGAAGCTTAGAGGGAATCCAAATGTTTTGGATTGTTGGGTGTTTCTGCCTTTGTTAAGCGCTATGAGATGACTTGTTGTAAATATGCACGACACAAATAGAATTGAACTGAATTGAATTGAACTGATAAATCAGTCGGGCCCTGGTTTAGTGTAGCACAGACCAGCACAGCATCAGTACCAGTGTTAACCATCAACTGTTCTGTTCCTGTAGTGCCTTTCCCTGCTGCTATGCCACGAGGCAACCCACGGCCCAGAGGAGGGTTTTGGGGCTCTCCTCACCAGGGAGGGAACAACACCCGGAGGAGAGGCCCCACTGAGGCCGAGCAAGCCATGTTTGCCTTTCAGGATTTAAACTTTAAACTGAAAGACCACATTGAAATCCTGGAGCAGCAGGTAAAAGACTTCCAAGAGAGACAGGCAGAGCTGGTGGAGAGAATCAGCGCTCGAGAAGCCACCATCAATGGTCTGGAGAGTCGCCTTAAGTCTCGTGAAAAGAAGAGGGAGGAGGACAAAATGGAGCTGCATGCCCTCCGAGAGAAAGTCCGTCGCGTCGAGGAACGCAACCAAGAGCTCCAGGAGAAGAACAACCTCCTGGAAGCTGAGAGCGCGGACCTCCGAGGGCAAAAGCTGGAGGCGGAGGCCAAACATCTGCTGGTGGAGGGGAGGAAGACAATTCTGCAGCTGCAGGTAGAAGATCTCCAGGAGGAAAAGAGGGAGCTGATTGCAAAAGTCAACAGTGGT